AACCATCTTTCCAAGCAGCCTCCGTGTCTCCAGTGTCTTTTCCCCCACTTGGAGCCAAACCCAGAAGGACAATTCTTCCAACAGAAGGAAATATATTGATATGTATATGTATTATCGATCTGATTTGTATGTGTATGTCCATGTCCATGCCCATGTCCATGTATATGTTATGTCTATCCCAAAGGTGTTTTTTTCCCCCAAGAGACAACTGGTCTTTCTGATTTTTCTTTTCAAGTTACCTTTTTAAAAAAAGCACCCTTGGGACAACCATGAGCTGGATGACTGAGAATCTCCCTAGACATACTTATGTCTATTTATCTCTCTCTCTGTGTATAAATATCTAGGATATGTTTGTATACGATTTAGCTATTTGCTGTGTGTGTTTAAATCTCCATCCATCCCATATACGGTACGTGTATACGCGCACCCACAATTCTACTACAATTCTATGCAAGTACGGCAGAGAAACAAGTTGCGTTAAGATAAGGAGAGCCTATTTCAGATCAAAACTTCCATCCGCAGACAGGACTACCGCACGTTCCAGCAGCATCTGCAATCCCCTTCCGCAGGATTCCAGTCAGCGTTAAGCCCCGCCCCGGCAGCAGGTGCCCCGCCCCCTCCCCACTTCCTCAGAGGAGCCGCTTCGGATCAGCCGGAGGGTCAGCTATGCCGGGGAGGGCGGGACTGAGGGCTGCCTGAGCCCCGCCCCCTTCGGTGTCTCGCGAGCGGCTGTTGGTGCTCGTCGCCCGCGCGCTCGCGAAGCTGCCGCTGCGCTTCCGGCAAGAGGAGCAAGATGGAGGCGGTGAAAGCTTGAGCGCGGCTCTCCTCGACTGCTGCCCGCCATGGCGGACGATGCTGAGTTGGAGAGGTAAGATTGGAAAGCGGCGGGAAGACGGAAAGCGCTAATGCCCCCTTGCCATGCCCGCCGGCTAAGTGCCAAGCAGAGCGCGAGCCGACACCCTTCTCTAACCTGGTGCCGGCCTGATGACTGGGAGGACAAATTCCATCATCCCCCAACCAGGCCAAGGGATTATAGGAATTGTACCCCGGCTTCACGGGCACCCGATTATCCTGGAGCGGTGGCAGGGTCCGTTTTATTAGAATACAATAGAACAACAGAGTTGGAAGGGACCTTGGAGGTCTTCTAGCCCAACCCCCTGCTTAGGCAGGAAACCCTACACCTACACTTCAGACAAATGGTTATTTAGCATCTTAAAAACGTCCCGTGTTGAAGCATTCACAACTTCTGGAGGCAAGTTCTTCCACTGATTAATTGTTCTATTACTCAATAAGTGATCCTGCCTCACTTGACTCAGAATTAAGGCTGCAGGTCATCAGGGAATTGCAGCCTAGAACAGTTTTTGACCCGGGATTTTTGCTTGAGGCCTTGAGCAATTGCCTAGCCTTAACTCTGGGATCAAATTCCTGGTGTTCTCTCCTGTCCATATAGAAATATTGAGTCCTAAGTGGGAGTGAAAGATTAAAGTGGTGCTTTTTTTAAAAAATACTGTTCCTAAAATAAGAGAGGGGGTATGGTGCCACTTTTTATAGAAGAATAGAATAGAATTCAATTCTTTATTGGCCAAGTGTGATTGGACACACAAGGAATTTGTCTTTGGTGCATATGCTTTCAGTGTACGTAAGGATAATAAAATACATGCATCAAGAATAAAAAGATACAACATTTGGTGATAGTCAGGGTTACTAATAAGCTATCAAATCGTTCTAGGAAACAAATAAAACAATATAAATTGAAAGATTCCTGTTAGTTTGCAGTGACTAATTGATAAAACAGTTACAAAGTCTAAACTGAATTATTCCAATTCTATCCCTCTAACTATGCTGCAAATGTAGAGCTATTTATAGGAAATAATACGGAGAATCAGGAATTGGGACAGCTATTTAATGTGTTTGCAGTTGATTATAAATGTGATTGATAGATTGAGAAGATAAAGTCCTGGGGATTATTTTTCATATTATTGATGCTACAAATCCAACAATGTACAACTTGCACAATTATAAACAATTAATATATCTAGTGCCAAAGAGGTTTTGGACTCGCAAGATATAAGACAATCAGATTTTGCCAAAAGGAGAAAGCAAATCTATTGCGTAAAATGTTTACAGCTTTAAATAGGAACATGCAAACAATGTTGTAGGAAATAGCTGACAGAGAACTTCAGATCGGGATCAAACAAGAAAAATTAAACAAAAAAATTCCAAAATAACATACAAGACTATAATAGAGCATTTGCCATATACAGACAAGAGTTCCAAATGAGTGTTGCCAATATCCAGCAATTGTAAAGAAAATTTGTATTTGTCATTCATATAAAATATTTTGTGGTGTACTTCAAACATAACAATCCCAATTCTTTAATTGACATAGAAAAGAGGGGGGGGGAGAGAAGACATAATGTCTTAGAAAACAAATCCAGCACAGATTTTATGTAGAGTAGTATTTACCTATTGCTACAGAAATAACATTTTAAACAAGGATCTTCCACTTCCTTTAACCTGATGGTCCTTTTTTCTTGAGATTCTATATGCCATGGTTGTCAATAGATGGATTCATAAAGACTGCCAAGTATGACCTTGATCAATTGTAACTTGCAGGTGTTTTAGTAAGAGAAAAGGTGGAGAATAGTGCAATTCTTTTGGTTGTGCTTATGTCACATGTAGCATCCTTTGCTAATGTAAGGTGCAATATGAGTCAAAGTTGCCACATATTTACTGGTATGCCCCAAGTGTAGCTAAAGCCCAGTTTTATTTAAACCATACTCTATGCGTCCTGGTATCTGGTATCTAAAGAGCCACCTTGTAAGCCAACATGCTGTTTCCTGTATCCCATCAACAATTAGTTGCATGTGTTGGACTGATATACTCAAGATACAGTATTGGCAAGTAGTATAACTCCAGTGTGATCCATTTAGAGCTAGAGAACAGTTGACTAGGAAGGAAAGAATAAAGGAGCTGAATGTTAACATAGTCTGAAATGCTTTTTTGTTCTCAAAACCCTCTAAAGTAGTCTATTTTGCAGACTACTTTAACTCTTAAAAGAGATAAATGGGTTTATAAATGGTGGCATACACATTAACGATAATAGTTCTCTTATAAAATATCTCTGTATATTAAAGCATGCAAGGAGGTATTTTTCCTCTTGAGATCAGAAGATACAAGTCTTTTTTTGAAGGCCTTTTTATTCCTGTGACATTTTTGGAAGGCTGAAAAACTAGGTATAGTAGATAAAGGGCAGGGGTCAAGACACACCTTTTTGTTTAGCCTCTTGTTTATACCAAATTCAATTTAAAACTTTTTGTTGTAATTGACAGAAATGCCTCAGCCCTAATAACAATTAAACGATTAAAGCTTCCACCAACATCTAGAACAATCTAGATTAAAATCAATTTTCCACAATTAATTAGCATTAAGATCAGGATTAGAAAAAGAGAGCAAAGGATTCAGATGGCTGATAAATTAGGTAGCAAGTAAAGTAAGGTGTGTATGGTGACTCCACCTTCCATATTACAGGTGAATGTTGTATCAGTGCCTAGAGAGCTGTGAGAAAGATAGATATATTCTTGCAAATAAAACTTAGTGATCAGCATTGCAACTTCCCACTTAAAAATAGACTATAAAAAGTTAGATACTTTAAGGAGATGTACTAGGGTTATCTTATCTTGTGGGTACCTTATCCCCAGCCTATAAAGTTACATTAAGGATAAGTAGTGTAAGTGGAATAAAAGTTTATGCTATAATTCTAATTAATCCACGCAAAAACCCAATATTGGGCAAATTATTCATGATCACAATATATTACCATTTCCAATCTGTCTGTTGGTTGAGATTTTAACCAATTTCATTAAAATTAAAACGTTTTCCCCCAATTTATAATTGTATCCCCTTCTCCTGAATAGCTCTATGTATCAAGTGGAGGAAAAATCTGAGTAGGGGCATCTCAAATGAGATAAAAGAAATCTGAACGTATCTTTACATCCTTATATTTCCACCACAAAAGTTCTGCGAGGGGAGTTTGACCTGAGAAAGAATGAGAAAGTTACCCATTTGGTTTCTGTGCCTAAGGGAGGATTAAAGTTTTAGGCTGCTTATAGATTGGCACCTGATCATATACCTAACTGGCTCTCTAGACTCTCTAGATAAATACCATACGTGTCTGTCCAGTGATTCAAGGGATTTAGAACATGAAAGATAATTATTTGCAATCTGAATTTAATTATTATAGTTTGATTTTGATTTAGGGACTGCAGTTTGAGTGAATTGTAATGATCTGCATTACTGTTGGATGAAAGAAACATATTCACATACCAAAGGTTTTGGAAGATATATTAAATTAATATTTATTCTTAATATTTAGGAAGGCAGTGGAAGAGCTATTGACAGAAGCTAAGCGTGGGAAAACCAGAGCAGAAACAATGGGGCCCATGGGCTGGTAAGTTCTTCAAACTAAATATAGTAATGTATATATCCATCCTAAACACTGCAATTTCAAATGTGCCTTAATAAATAAGTCTCACTAGGGACTAAAGTAAGAATGCATAGTGAGCATTGTCATGTAAATTCTTCACCAGTGGATTAAAATATAGTATTTTTTGTTGGTAAGTAGACACATAATTAAGAATAAGAATTAGTTTCTTTTATGTGAAGTCTTTCTTGTTTGAAAATGACGTTGCTCATTGTCTATTGTATTCAGCTGCGTATAATCTAGCTGTATTTGTCTTAAACATTTGAACGCATTTTCTGGTAAAATATTTCTCTAGAATGTTTCTATATTTCTAAAATGAAAGCAGAGATATATGAATGTCCACTTGAATGCTATATAGCCATGATGGCGAACCTATGGCACACGGAACCATTTGTCCGGACATGCAAGGCGTTGCACTGTCAGCTCGCCAGCACACATGCGCACGCTGGCCAGCTGACTTCGGCCTTCTTTTGAGGCCATTTTTCGCCCTCCGGAGGCTTCAGGAGCTTCCAGCCCTACGGGCAAACCAGAAGTTCAGGAACATACTTCTGAGTTGCTCATAGGGCCGGTTTTAGCCCTCCGGAGCCTTCAGGGGCCTTCCAGAGGCTTCCCTGAACGCTCCAGAGGGCAAAAAACAAACCTATGAGCAAACCAGAAGTCACTTCCAGGTTGCTCGTAGAGTCGTTTTTTTGCCCTCCGGAGCCTTCAGGGAAGCCTCTGGAAGGCTCCGGAAAGCTAAAACCAGCCCTATGAACAAACCGGAAGTCTGTTCCCGAACTTCCAGTTTGCCCATAGGGCCGGTTTTTCGTGCTCCAGAGGCTTCAGGGAAGCTCCTGAACCCTCCGGAGGGCCTCGGTGGGGGAGCCTGTTTTCGCCCTCCCCAGGCTCCTATAAAGCCTCTGAAGCCTGTGGTGGGCAAAAAAGGCACACCCAAAATGAGAGGGAGCTCTGGTAGTGCGCGCATGCACGCATGGGTCTTGCGCATAGCATTATGGGTGTGGCACGCCTGTACACTGCCCCCCCCTTTTGGCCCGCAAGTCACAAAAGGTTCCCCATTACTGCTATATAGGAAGAAAAAGAAGGGAATGTATCTAAATAATTCCATTCTTCCTGTTTCAAGTGGTCTCACTTGGCCACCTATCAGAAGCTCTTATGTTTATAATGGAAGTAGATGATACTGGTATCCTGGAGATTCCAGTAACACTGTTATTCTTGGATGAGTTTATGGCATGTGATTGCAAGGGTAGAAACAATTTTATTAAGACTTTCTCAGGATGCTGCTAGCTCTTTGTTTCTTCAGTTAAGTAATAGACTCGTATCCAGTGAAAACTCCTTGTAGCTACTGTGGGATTGATGAGCTGTAAAAACGGGTTTTACTGGATGCCCTAATTTTATCACATCAAAATACTCAGGTAATTAATCCTACATTCTTGGAATCCTTAGTTGCACCATAATAATCAGCAGGACATGATATGATTGCCATTTTAGTACTTGAAAATAAATCACATGAAATTGTCACATTCTGTCAACTCGCTATGGTTGCATAGTCAACAAATAAGCGAATAGCTCACAACAAGAAGGGGTCCTCTTTCTGAACTCAGATAATTGGAATACTTGTGATGTCTTTTATCAAGAAAGAAGAATTTAAGTAAAAGGAGCCAATAAGTCTATTTTTTCCATCTAGCGCTAGTTAATATTTTTGGCACCATGGGGAAATAGAAGATATTCCCTCTCTGAAAATAGTAATTTTGTCTGATAATAGCCTGTTTGAGATTTTTAATACCGTGTTTCCCAGAAAATACGACCTGTCCTGAAACTAAAGCCTTGCCACATTTTTCGTGTGGGCAAAAATATAAGCCCACCCCTGAAAATAAACCCCCTGCACAACCCCCCTCCTCCGGCCAGGCAGAGTACCGCTCACCGACATAGCGGTATCCTGAAGGCGTCAAGCCGCAGGAGCCGGGGAGGAGAAAGGCGCTCACATTGCTTGGCGCTTTCGGGATACCGCTAGGTTTGGGAGTGGCATTCTTCCTGGCCGGAGGGGGGAATTGCTGGGCGGCTGCTTCCTTGCGAACTGGCATTCGCGCCATTCACTGACCTAGGGGGTATCACTAAGGCGCCAAGCCACATGGCGCTCTGCCCGCTCCCCAGCTCCCGCGGCTTGGCACATTAGGGATACTCGCTAGGTTAGTGCATGGAGCTCTGCCCGGCTGGAGAAGGGGGTTGTGCGAGCACCTGTTCTGCCTCCAGCAGGTATGCCTCCTATCCTCAACATGTCTGGGCCCAGCTCTCCTTGCAACAGCTGCCGCCGCCATGCTCCAAGCATAACATCTTCTCCAAACTCCAAAACCTGGCTGCCGAGTCTTCCAGCAGCGGCTGCTCTAGGAGTACACTCTATGGTTGTTGGGTTGCTCTAGAGTTGCCAGGCTTGGTCACCTCATGGCTGCTTCGCCCCTGAGGCTGTGCCTGGTTCTTCAGGAGCCAGTTCGCAAGGGAGCAGCCGCCCAGCAACCCCAAAACAATAAGCCCTCCCCTATAATAAGCCCAAGGCCATATTTTGTAAGTAAAAAGAAAATAAGACCCTGTCATATTTTTGGGGAAACATGGTAGGTAGGGAGAGAGAGAGGGTAGGTATGTAGATAGAAGGATAGAGAGAGAGAAATACGGTAGGTAGGGAGAGAGAGAGGGTAGGTATGTAGATAGAAGGATAGAGAGAGAGAAATACGGTAGGTAGGGAGAGAGAGTAAGTAGGTAGGTAGGTAGAGGGATAGAGAGAGAGAAATACAGTAGGTAGGTAGGTAGGTAGAGAGAGAGAGTAGGTAGGTAGGTAGGTAGGTAGAGTAGGTAGATAAGTAGGTAGGTAGATGTTTCCAAG